CTGACATCCCTGTTCATCCCGATACTTTTCTTGCAACATTCGCTGACGACACCGCAATCTTATCATCCAACTCTGATCCCAACATAGCATCCTTAAATCTCCAAAACCACCTCACCTTGATTGAGCACTGGTGTAATAACTGGCGCATTAAAGTTAATGAATCTAAATGCCAACATATTACCTTTACACTCCGACGCAGTTCCTGTCCACCAGTACACTTTAATTCCATCCAGCTTCCTTACTCAGACACAGTCCGGTATCTTGGCTTTCATTTAGACCGAAGACTAACGTGGAACCCACATACTAGACTCAAAAGACAAGAACTCAACCGACGATACGGCCAGCTATACAGACTACTAAACAGAAAATCCAAACTTTCTATTGAAAACAAATTACTTATCTACAAGACAATACTGAAACCTATATGGACATACGGACTTGAACTGTGGGGGACAGCAAAAGCTTCTAACATCAAACGTATTCAATCCTTTCAATCTAAAGTCCTTCGAACAATAGTTGATGCTCCGTTCTATGTAAATAACAAAATCCTACACCATGACCTTAATATCCCATTTGTCCTAGACCTTATTCCAGAAAAATTCTCCAAATTTCACCAGAACCTTACCTATCATCCAAATCCCCTTGCACAATCTCTATCCAGCACCACCCATCCTTACAATCCTCCTCGAAGGTTGAAGCGGCAGTGGCCCAGAGACCTTTTGTAAATAAGCATCTATTGGAGTTCTGGCAATGGCCAGATCCTCCACTCAAGCCCGAGTGTGTATGATTAGGTTAGTTCTTTTGTTTATATACATTTATTTTATTTTATTGTATTTATTTTTATTTTATTTTTTTGTATTTATTATTATTAAGTTTCTGTATTATTTATTTTTTTTTTATTGTAAATAGAGTGTGAGTGTGCTTTCTCTGATCACTATTATAAATGTCCTTGATGTGACAGAATGTAATATTTCTAAATAAACAAATATATAGAACATACATAAAGAAAGAAGGAAACAGTTATATTTTTTAATTACATTCTGGCCTTTCGCTTCGGAAAGACGGCCAAAAAACGTGTGTCGCTCTAGACTGTAGCGCCTAAACGGCTGTAACGATTTTAGTTAAGCTTGGATAAAGTCTTCTCCTTTGAGCCTTTTTGATTTATGTATATAACATCCTTCCCCGAAAAGAGTATATAATAAAAAAAATTACGATGGAACCAGAACTATATTTGCGAATATCTCAAAAAGTGCACAATTTTTGACCGATTATACCCATGATTATTTAAATGCTTTCTGAATACCCATCAAAATTATTTTAAAAAATATCGAAAAGATTTATCTCCGAAATGAAATAATTTATACCGGCCAAAGGAGCAAAGTGCGTTCAAATATTTCTTTAAAGGAAAATAAATTTAAGATTCTTATTTCTTATCTCCATAAATCCTCAAATACGAATTTTCGAAAATTCGAATTATTTGATAATAATTTGAAGTAAATTTTTTTTATTTTTCGATTGCAATGAAAATTCGACTTATTTGAGGGTTTATGAGGTTTCGAAATAAGAATCACAACTTTTTTTTCCTTTAAAGAAATATTTGAACCAACTTTGCTAATTTGACCGGGTATAAATTGTTTCATTTTGGAGATAATTCTTTTCGTTTTGGATGTGTTTTTTTTTATAATTTTATAAACATCCTTTGTACATTTTGGACCTTTTCCTTAGTCAATCCATATTTCATTTGTCTCATGACTTGAGGTCCCTAGGAGTTTATATTATTTATCAAACTTTTTTTTTTTTTTGTAGATACACCATATCTTCGTTAATTCTTCGTCATGTCTAAAGATTTAGCTATCATTTTGAAGATTTCCTTCACATTCAGGTAGAAAAAAGTTGTGATGTAATTTTATTTACGAATAACCAAAAAAAGTATACACTTTTTTGCATATATATATATATATATATATATATATATATATATATATATATATATATATATATATGAAAACTTGCGGGATTCCCTACAAAACGTAAAAAATAAATAATCGGAATCGGATTGTTGCAAAGATATTGCGTTTTGAATTATATGTTGTTTTTTTCTATGAAAATGTGATCGTCATTATTTGATGTATGTTCTTATAAAGCTACTAAATTTGTTTACAATAGCTGTATATGTGTACTACTAAATTTCAAAAAGCTGAGGCAGAAGAAAAACACATGTTCTGCGCACACTGTGCACTCTGCTGTACTGTCCAGCAATACTGGTTAGGTTGGATAGCATCCATGTCCGTGAGAAGCTGGGTAAGCCAGTCCACCTACCCATGCTTTCTTTCTGCATAGGATTGGCTTCAGTTCTGTGCCTCCACCTACCGTTCGATGTCATATCCCAGCGTCGTTGCCATTTGTCAACCGTCTCCTATCTTTTTTTTGGAAATAAGATCGATTCTGTTCCATAGGCGCATCCTCTCTTTGCAATTAGCTCTATTGGTAGCAGCCTGGTCATCCTGCCGCATCACAACTGTGGAATGCACTTGTCACTCCACTGGGCACTGTGATGGTAGACGCTTATCATTGGTTTTCTAGTATATAAGTCATAGTAAGGAGGGTACCTTTCCATATAGGAGCTGCGTAGATTAAAATAGACGCAACCATGCATGATAACAACAACCTGCGGCTGTGTCTGGGTCATGCATCATTTTGTGTATGTGCGTAAAAATAAAAATATCATCAAAAATAAATTAATAAATAAAAGCTCTCCAAAATTTAATCCTGAAGCTGCTACTGTTTGCCACATTATGTTTTAATTATATATGTATGGTTTTTAAAAGAAAGAAAATACAAACAAAAATTGAAATAATTTTCATTTACTTTTCTGCACAATTCTTTTTTCGTTTTTATTGTAAGGAAATTAGTATGTACCAAAGTTTTAGCTGTCTTATTTCACATCAGTTTTTAAAGTGCATATTTCACAGGTTTTTAATGGCACATTATATGTCATAATCTATGGGGTTTTATAAATCTGGATCTAAAACGAGATAACGATTCAATGAAGATTTAATTTATTTCAATTATTTATATGATCTAAATAAACTCTATCCCTATTGAAAATTTCCTGCATAAAATTAAATAAATAATTAGGCTAGTTTTCATTTACAATAAACAATTTGTAGATTTTTGGACTAATTAAATTTTGTTATTCAAGGATATTTTATGTACTTATTCAATATACTTTTATTAATTTTATTTTATCATATCTGGTAGCAATTATGAATTGACTACAATTCTTCCTCTAAATTTAATTTAAGAATTACAAGAAAAAATTGTATACCACATGCTTTGTATTGAAATGAAATGAAAATATTTTTTTTATTATCCTAGGACTGATGTACCTTTAGGACAAATTACAGATATAGAATAAATGCCTGTGTGGCCATACGTAAAATTAATTATTTACATTTATTATTAAGATTAAGATTTTGAAAAAAAAAAAAAAATAAAAAAATATAACTATTACACTAAAAACATTCTGATATGTATAATACAAACTGTATAATAAAATAAAATAGCATAAGTAAAGAAAATCATTTCTGGGGGAGAACTTTAAAAGTTCTCTTATCTACATTTCATGATATTGGACACTTCAGAAAAAAAATTATGTGTATTCAAACTTATTCTCTGGTGATATTTACTGGAATGGCTTATGGAAAGCATTTTATTCAATTAAACATATTTTTCTATATTAATTTTTTTCTGTTTTTTTTTTCATTTGTTGGTCCAAGACTTTCATTAGGTCCCATACTGAGATTAATATTTTGATCCCTATTATTATTGTATTAAAACTTATAAAAAATACTATTAACAACATGTTTACTCTGAAATACGTAGACCATCATTTTTCACTGTCAGGTAATGACTTTTTGTATGCAAATGTTTTATTATATTTCTATTTACATTTTTTTTTTTTTAAATAAACATATAACTTATCACTTTCATGGCTGTTATTTTTCAATAGATATTTCAGAAAAAAACAGGAAATCATTGTAAACTGGGTTATGTATTTTTTTTTTTTTTAAAGATATATTATTAATATATTGAATGCTAACAGTGCCATACATCAAACAACATTTATTATATCTTTCCTTATTTCTTTACTCAGCAGCAAATTCACATTTTTTATGTAATTACTTTTCTGATGATATTCTACATTTACATATTTTTTTCCAATTTTTCGTTAAAGAAAAATAAAAAATTTTAACAGGTGGAGTGTTTTTAATATCTAAATTCAAAGCCTATCTGAGTTTCTTTTTTATGAATATCTTGTAATGTTACTTTCTTTGTAAGGGAATTTCATTTTTTAAGTACCCTAATCATTGGTTACAAGTATAAATTAAAAAAAAATCATATATTGCTTAAAATAGTTTGATTTAAAATTGTTGTTATGTATTAACAGTTCGTGTTTTGATTTTTCTGAAGTTAAAAAAATCAGAATTTTAGAGAATATATAATTTTCAAAGTTCCAGATTGTTGTTTATTTGTTTTTCACTTCTTGTGCTCAAATGTTATGTATATTTTGTACTTTTTGTGATTATTGAAAATAATTTCAAATTTTTTTTAACCTTTAAAATATAATCTGAATCATTCTTTTCTCTTAAATATTCATCTGGTACTTTTAATTATTTATCATAATTAAAATAAAACATATTACTTTAAGAGAATAATGAAAATAACATATCAAAAAGTTGTTCTTAATTTTGAATCCTCAGACTGAACATGCTTTGCTCTTTACACATAGTGCCAACTTACGATAAATAGTTTTATCTTATTTGTATACTACTGGCAGGGACATCAATAATACAGATCATCTTGTAGATTCATTGAATAATTATTTAATAATAACATAGCAGTAAACAATGAAGTTTATTTTAATGGAAAGGGGACAGTAATTCTTTTTATACAAAAAATTGTATCTCAAATATTTATTTTACATATTATATAATATATCATTTTTTATAATAAAAAACTTCAGAGACTATTTCATAAGCAGGATGAACGTCCACTGCATAGCGAAGGCTGTGAGCGTACGGATCTATCACCAGACGTTGGTTTTCCTCAAAATGAATCGGAACAATGTACTCTCCTGTATTATCATAGCCAATGAATCCAGTTGAGTGTTGGCCATCCTGATAATCAGATTCAACCAGTGATAAATGGCCTCCAGTAGTTTTCAGGTGTAAATTGTGAGAAAGACCTGTGTCATCTCTTACTTGGTATAAATACTCAACTCTCCCTAATATATCCCTTGAAGTAATGAAGTTCATATCTCCTGCCCGGTTTCCCACTGTTAAATAATTTATTCTCCCCACAGCATTCGTTATAGGTATTCCCCATATTGTCTTACCAGCCCTCTTTTTCAATGCAACCATGTCCAATGTCTCATGTTCATCAATTTGCAAGTGCATGGTATCAGTTAATCCCGTGTTAAATGTTTCCAGATTAAGGACACCAGCTTGTTTTTTAGATGAAGAGGAAAATCTATTCTTGGATAATCCACTCCTAGACTTTTTCCTTAGTGACGGTGGAGAAGGAAATACTTGTGATTTTCGTGATTTTCTTTCAACCTTCTTAACTGGAGAGGTATTTCTTAGGAACCTATTATAGTGTTCCGAGTCAACAGCATCTGATTCATGAGAAATTTCACTATTCTTGGATAATCCACTCCTAGACTTTTTCCTTAGTGACGGTGGAGAAGGAAATACTTGTGATTTTCGTGATTTTCTTTCAACCTTCTTAACTGGAGAGGTATTTCTTAGGAACCTATTATAGTCTTCCGAGTCAACAGCATCTGATTCATGAGAAATTTCACTAATTGATGGAACCATCCTATTCTTGGATCTTCTAACTGATGGAAACTTCATTGCAGTATATGCGGGAGATCTAACTACTAAATGTGGATGACTTTCTATGATCATTGGAACTTTCCGACGACTTCCTCCAATCAATGATACTTTTGGAGTGGGTATGAGATTTCCAACTACCATAGGAATATTGAGTGTGTGCGGAAAATATAAAGATGTGGACAATTTAGGAACTGGTTGCACATGGCCTATTACTGGAGAAACATGGGATGCGATATTTTTATTATAGAGTTCGGAATTTGAAACATCATTTCCATAAGGAAATATTCCCGATTTTATCCTCCCTGTATTATACATTTCTGTGCTAGGGATATCTGCATAGTATACTCCTGTTGATGGTGTAACAGCCATGAATTTTGGTCTTCTATATTTTGGACTTTTTATTGATAAATACGGGACATTTCTTCCTACCTTATAATTGAGATTGTCATCATAGACAATGTTCGGAAATGATGTAGTAATTGGTATTTCTGGTTTAGGTACTTTTATCATTAATGGTTGTAGGGGGTCACGTGGGCGCTTTTTGAATGTTGATTTTTCTGCTGATGTTGGGACCTTTTGAACGAAAGAGATATCTGCTGATTTTGGAAAATTAAAAACAGGCCTTTTCCTATCGAATTCATAATCATGATCTATACCAGTATAGTCAACTTCTGGATTAAATTCATTAGTATCATGATATATTCCAGTTGATGGTTCGACCGCCTTATTTTTTGGTCTAGTCGGAGATGTTTGCGAAGGAGCAAAAAGTGGCCAATTTTCGAACATTGATGGTGATTTCACAGCTGGAAGATTTTGAACATCCATTGGTAGCTTTGTTGTAAAAGGGAGATTCGGTCCTCTCTTCGGTTGGTTAGAAAAAGTTCCCATTGTATCGTCAAATTCGGGACCATATTGATCCTCATTGAGATTATCTCTATCAGAGGAGCTATCCGGGGATGATTTACCATTTGGTCTCTTAAGGTTAGGAATTCCTATATTTGATGGTTGCCTGGTAATTGTTACGGGTCTATATCCCTGTGTTGCTGGCGATCTTGGAACTCCTGAGCTTATATCAGATTTTGGTTGATTGAAAAAGTTTTCAGTTTCTTCGTTGGGCACACTTTTGCTTTTTGGACTCCTAAGTTTAGGTGTTCTAATAGGATATGTCTGAGAAGGAGCAAAAAATGGCCAATTTCCGAATATCGATGGTGATTTATTTATAACTGGAAGATTATTAGCATCAATCGGTATCTTTGAAGTGGAAGGAAGCTTTGTTCCTGTCTTCGGCAGGTTGTAAAATGGTTCAAGATTATCACGAACTTCAGGGCCATATTGATCGTCATTGTCTGACAAGCTTTCTGGATATGATGGAACTAACTCACTATTTGGCCTCTTAAGTTTAGGAGCTCTAGTTGGAGATGTCTGAGAAGGTGCGAAGGACGGCCAATTTCCAAATATCGAAGGTGATTTAGTTATAGTTGGAAGATTGTAGGCAGTAGCAGGTAGCTTTGGAGTAGAAAGATTTGCTCCTCTTTTCGGTGGGTTGTAAAATCTTTCAGGACTATCATGAACTTCGGGGCCAGGTTGATCGTCATTGTTAGGCAAGCTTCCCGGGGATGATGGGACTAACTCACTATTTGGCCTCTTAAGTTTAGGAGCTCTAGCCGGAGATGTCTGAGAAGGTGCGAAGGACGGCCAATTTCCGAATATCGTTGGTGATTTATTAATAGTAGGACTATTGGCTGCTGCAGGTACCTTTGGCATAAAAGGGACATTTGTTCCTCTCTTCGGTAGGTTGTTAAATGGTTCAGGACTATCGTGATCTTCGGGATCATATTGATCCTCATTTTGATTATCATCTTCGGGATTGTTATTGTCAGACAAGCTTTCCGGTGATGATGGAATAAACTCACTGTTTGGTCTCTTATGTTTAGGTGCTCTAATTGGAGATGTCTGAGACGGTGCGAAGAACGGCCAATTTCCGAATATCGTTGGTGATTTTGTTATAGTTGGACGGCTATCGGCTGTTGAAGGCACCTTTTGAATACTGTTTGGTCTCGTAATTTTAGGAACCTTATTTGATGGTTGTATGGAGTTTGTTGTTGGTCGATATCCTTGTGTCACTGGTGATCTTGGAATTGCTGAAGTTATATCTGATTTTGGAAGAGTGGATATGTTTTCAGTTTCATCATTTATATCTGGACTATCACTTTCCGAATTCGGATCCTCATTACTTTTATCAATGTCTCCATGTAATGGCACAGATTTGGTTTTTGGATTTCTAAGTTTAGGTGCTCTAATCGGAGTTGTCTGAGAAGGTGCGAAGAACGGCCAATTTCCAAAAAACGATGGTGATTTAGATATTGTTGGACGACTATCGGCTGCTTTAGGTACCTTTGGAATAGAAGGCATATTTGCTCCTCTCTCCGGTAGGCTGCTAAATGGATCAGGACTTTCGTGATCTTCGGGACCATATTGATGATCATTGTCAGACAAGCTCTCTTTGAATGATGGGACTAACTTACTGTTTGGTTTTCTAAGTTTGGGTGCTCTAATTGGGGAAGTCTGAGAAGGAGTGAAGAATGGCCAATTTCCAAACATCGTTGATGATTTAGGAACATTTGGACGACCATCGGCTCCTTTAGATAGCTTTGGAATATAAGGGGTATCTGTTCCTCTCTTCGGTAGGTTGTAAAATGGTTTAGTACCATCGTGATCTTCGGGACCATATTGATTCTCATTGTGATAATCATTGTCAGGGAAGCTTTCCGGGAATGATGGAACAAAATTACCGTTTGGTCTCGTAATTTTAGGAGCCTTATTTGATGGTTGTATGGAGTTTGTTGTTGGTCGATATCCTTGTGTCACTGGTGATCTTGGAATTGCTGAAGTTATATCTGATTTTGGAAGATTGGATATGTTTTCAGTTTCATCATTTATATCTGGACTATCACTTTCCGAATTCGGTTCCTCATTACTTTTATCAATGTCTCCATGTAATGGCACAGATTTGGTTTTTGGATTTCTAAGTTTAGGTGCCCTAATGGGAGATGTCTGAGAAGGAGCGAAGAATGGCCAATTTCCGAATATCGTTGGTGATTTAGTCATAGTTGGACGACTATCGGCTACTTCAGGAACCTTTGGAACTGAAGGGGTATTTGATCCTCTCTTCGGTAGCTTGTTAAATGGCTCAGTACTGTCGTGACCTTCGGGAACATCTTGTTCATCATTGTCGAACAAGCTATCAAGGAATGATGGAACTAACTTACTGTTTGGTTTTCTAAGCTTGGGTGCTCTAATTGGGGATGTCTGAGAAGGAGTGAAGAATGGCCAATTTCCAAATATCTTTGGTGATTTAGACACAGTTGGACGACTATCGGTTGCTGTAGGTACCTTGGAAATAGAAGGAATATTTGGTTCTCTTTTCGGTAGGTTGTTAAATGGTTCAGTACCATCGTGATCTTCGGGAACATATTGATCTTCATTGTGATTATCATTGTCAGGGAAGTTTTCCGGGAATGATGGAACAAAATTACCGTTTGGTCTCATAAGGTTAGGAACCTTATTTGATGGTTGTAAGAGGTTTGTTATTGGTCGATATCCTGGTGTCGCTGGAGATCTTGGAATTGCTGAAGTTATATCTGATTTTGGAAGATTGGATATGTTTTCAGTTTCATCATATATATCTGGGCTACCACTTTCCGAATTCGGTCCCTCATTACTTTTATCAAGGTCTCCATCTGATTGCACAGATTTTGTTTTTGGATTTCTAAGTTTAGGTGCCCTAACGGGGGATGTTTGTGTAGGTGCGAAGAACGGCCAATTTCCGAATATCGTTGGTGATTTAGATATTGTTGGACGACTATCGGCTGCTTTAGGTACCTTTGGAATAGAAGGGGTATTAGCTCCTCTCTTCGGTATGCTCTTAAATGGCTCAGTACTTTCGTGATCTTCGGGACCATATTGATGATCATTGTCGGACAAGCTCTCTGGGAATGATGGAACTAAGTTATTGTTTGGTCTCTTAAATTTAGGAGATCTAGTCGGAGATGTGTTAGAAGGAGCAAAAAATGGCCAATTGCCGAATATCGATGGTGATTTAGTTACAGCTGGAAGAGGAAGAGTATGGATATCAACAGGTACTTTGGAAGTAGATGAGGGATTGGCTCCTCTCTTCGGTTGGTTGTAGAAATATTCAGGTTTATGATGATCTTCGGGACTATATTGATCGTCATTGTCAGACAAGCTTTCCAGTGATGATGGAACTAACTCACTTTTAGGTTTCTTAAGTTTAGGTACTCTAATTGGCGATGTCTGAGAAGGAGCGAAGAACGGCCAATTTCCGAATATCGTTGGTGATTTAGTCATAGTTGGACGACTATCCGCTACTTGAGGAACCTTTGAAACAGAAGGGGTATTTGCTCCTCTCTTCGGTAGATTGTTAAATGGCTCAGTACTGTCGTGACCTTCGGGAACATCTTGATCATCATTGTCGGACAAGCTATCAGGGAATGATGGAACTAACTTACTGTTTGGTTTCCTAAGCTTGGGTGCTCTAATTGGGGATGTCTGAGAAGGAGTGAAGAATGGCCAATTTCCAAATATCTTTGGTGATTTAGACACAGTTGGACGACTATCGGCAACTTTAGATAGCTTTGGAATAGAAGGGGTATCTGTTCCTCTCATTGGTAGGTTGTTGAATGGTTCACTACTATCATGATCTTCGGGACCATATTGATCCTCATAGTGATTATCTTTATTAGGGAAGCTTTCCGGGAATGATGGTACAAACTTACTGTTTGGTCTTATAAGTTTAGGAACCTTATTTGTTGGTTGTAAGAGGTTTGTTATTGGTCGATATCCTGATGTCGATGGTGATCTTGGAATTGCTGAAGTTACATCTGATTTTGGAAGAGTGGATATGTTTTGAGTTTCATCATTTATATCTGGACTATCACTTTTCGAATTCGGTTCCACACTATTATTACCAATGATAGTTGATGACACAATTTTGCTTTTTGGACTTCCAAGTTTAGGAGCTCTAGTCGGAGATGTCTGAGAAGGAGCAAAAAATGGCCAATTTCCAAATATCGATGGTGATTTAGTTTTAGTTGGAAGATTGTAGGCAGTAATAGGTAGCTTTGGAGTAGAAAGATTTGCTCCTCTTTTCGGTGGGTTGTAAAATCTTTCAGGACTATCATGAACTTCGGGGCCAGGTTGATCGTCATTATTAGGCAAGCTCCCAGGGGATGATGGGACTAACTCACTATTTGGCCTATTAAGTTTAGGAGCTGTAGCCGGAGATGTCTGAGAAGGTGCGAAGGACGGCCAATTTCCGAATATCGTTGGTGATTTAGATACAGCTGGAAGATTTTGAGGAACATCTGCATTGGAAGGATGATTAGCTATAATATCTGTTGCAGTGTTTGTATTATCATTAGCTTCTGGACTATTTTTCTCCGAATTCACTGACTTGGGAACAGCCTTAGGTTTCTGTGACTTAGTGAATTCCGTCACAAATGGTTTTGAAGGAGCATTAACGTGCTCATTTTCATGTGTCCTGGGTGACCTAGGGATAGCCGGAAGATTTTCAGATACTTTAGGTATGTTTTGATTAGTAGGAAGATTATTTTGTACTTTAAGAACGTTAAAATCTGTCTGTGAATTATTATCTGTTTCATCGTTAATTTCAGTGATATTATCTTCAAAATCAGTCACACCTGTGTCAATCGATTCCACCATTGATATTGGTACAGTCTTAGGTTTTGGTTTTCCATATTTTGGAACCTTTATTGGTGATGTTTGAGAAGAACTCATAATTGGCTTATTTCCAAATGCCGTTGTACCATCTGGCAGATAACTGGTTTCTTTACTCATTTTTGGAATAGAAAGCTGATTATCTGATATCTTAAGTTGATTGAACACTGTATCGGAATTTTCATTAATTTCTGGATTATATTTTTCCGAATTAGTTGATGTTGGAACTCCTTTATTTTTGGGTTTCTGAGGCTTTGGAATTTCCGTCACCAATGTTTGAGAAGGAGTGAAAAATGGCCAATTTCCAAATGACCTAATAGCTGGAAGAATGTCAGATACTGCAGGTAACTTTGGAATGGACTGCTGATAACCTATTCTCTTCGGTTGATTGGTAAATGCATTGATATTACTGTTACTTTCTGGACTATATCTTTTAGAATCCGGTCCTTTTTCGAATATTATTTGTGATTCTGGAATAGTTAAAAGATTTTTAGATGCTTTAGTCAAGTTTGGAATCGTAGGTAGATTATTCAGTATCTTTGTAACCATAAAATCTGTGTCTGTATTATTGTCTAATTCATTTTCATCGTTAATTTTTTTATTATCTTTATCTGAATTACGATCGTTTATGTCATTTAACCCTGCCTTTGATGTTGGAACAGGCTTAGTTTTGGGTCCCTTAAGTTCAGGAATTCTAATCTGTGATGTCTGTGGAGTATTGACAGGTTCATTTTCAGGTATTCTTGGTGATCTTGGAATACCTGGAAGATTATCTGTTATTGCAGATAACTTCGGAACATAAGGAAAATTGGCTGCTAACTTAGGTAAATTGAAAAAAGTTTTAGGAACATTGTCAGCTTCTTGATCTATACTTTCAACATTGTCCATTTCTTCGCTTTTATCATTGATAACATCCGTTGAAGATGGGGAGGTTTTGGTTCTCTGGAGCTTAGAGATTTTTCCCAATATTGGATGTGATTGGGCATTAATTGGTTGGTCTTTAGATGTTGTTGGTGACCTTGGAACCCCTGGAAGATTATTTGCTGATGAAGGCTCCTTTAGAACGGAAGGAAGATTTCCTATTGGTCGATTTTGATATTTATTGGAATCATCGTTAACTTCTGGATTATATCTTATGGAACTGTGATCGTCAATATCCATTGATGTTGAAATAGGTCTAATTTTGGGTGTTATCGCTGATTGTTGTGAAGTAACTGGTTTTGGCCTATTGCCAAAGCTTGTTAGTGATTTAAAAAAATTCGGAATATATTTTGATATTTTAGGTATATTTCTTATTGTAGAAAAATTGTCTCCTACGGTATTGTGGGTTTCATTATTATCTATTCCATCATTATTGTTTGTCTCTGTGTTAGCATTTTTTACATTAATACCATCTGTATCATTGGATTCTACTGTTGATGCAGGAACTTCTTTATTTTTTGGTCTTCCAAGTTTTGAGTCACGTGGCACTAATGGAACTGATGAAACAGCGATTTGTGGTAATCGTGGAGCATAAGGGATATTTCCTATTACTTTTGGTTTATGAACATTGGTTACAATACTCTCTTCGTTTTCTGAACTGTATAATTCTGTACTGAGGTCATTATTATCACTGACGATTTCTGTTAATGTTGTACTAGCCTTAGTTTTAGGCCTTCTAAATTTGGGAGCACTTGTCAATGATGGTTGCATCTGGTTCTCTGGATCTGGCTGGTCTGCGATTAATCGAGGTGATCTGGGAACAGCTGAATTCTTTCCCACTGCCTTTTGACTAGTAGTACTGTCTTCTACTACGTCAGGTTCTCTGATCACCGATGATTGTAAAGGAGCAACACCTGGCCGATTTGCTGTTGCTATTGTTGATTTTAAAATGCTAGGCTCATTTCTTGATATATCGGGCACGATTGGAACTGAAGGGAGATTCTTCAGTGCCTTGGCTACCTTAGAAATGGGGTTATTTTTATTGATTTGATTATTATTGTTTATTTCTGTATTTTCCTCATTAGAGTTAACTTCATCTATATCATATAATACTTCCTTTGATGTCGTAATTGTCTTACTCTTTGGTCTCCTAAATTTGGGGACTCTTGGCACAGTTGGTTGTGAAGATGAGACGTTTGTGGAATTTTGGATTGCTGTTGTTGATTTTGGAACAGTAGGAACATTTCCAGGTCCGTTAAGTACATTTGGAATTGAAGAAAGATTCCCCAGTAGCTTAGGAACCTTAATTATGGTTTCATTGTTGTCAATTTCAATATTATGGTTTGTATCTATATTTTCTTCTTCTGATTCAATGTTATCTGTATCATATAATATATCCTTTGATGTGATTGTTTTACTCTTTGGTCTCCTAAATTTAGGAATTCTAATGTTAGATTGTTGTGAGGATGGAATACTAGGCGAATTTAAAATTGTCGTTGTTGATTTTGAAATATTTGGGATATTGGCAAATACATTAGGTATTCTTGGAACTGACGATAGATTTTCTTTTACCTTTGGTGCATTAATAAAAGTGCCCCTGTTATCGATTTCAACATTCTCGTTTGTTTCTATATTATCCCCTTCTGAATCAACGACATCTGTACCATATATTTTCTTAGATATCGTGATTGTCTTACTCTTTGGTCTCCTAAATTTAGTAAATCTAGGGTTAAATTGTTGTACGGAAGGAATTGATTTTTGAACAGTTGGGATATTTGCAGATATATTAGGTACTTTTGGAACCGATGGGAGATTTCCATTTATTTTTGGAACATTAACAACGGTACCGCTGTTAACGGTTTCAACATTCTGGTTTATTTCCATATTACCCTCTTCTGAATTAATGACATCTGCATCATATATTTTCTTTGATATTGTGATTTTACTCTTTGGTCTCCTAATTTTAGGAACTCTAATGTTAGACTGTTGTGAAGATGAAATACTTGGCAAATTTAGAATTGTCGTTGTTAATTTTGGAACAGTTGGGATATTTGCAGATAAATTAGGTATATTTGGGACCAATGGTAGATTTCCTTTTATCTTTGGATCATTAATAACAGTAGGGCTGTTAACGATTTCAGTATTGTGGTCTACTTCTGTATTATTCTCTTCTGAATTAATAACATCTGCATCATATATTTTTTTTGATATCGTGATTTTACTCTTTGGCCTCCTAAATCTAGGAATTCTAGTGTTAGATTGTTGTAATGATGGAATACTTGGCGAATTTAGAATTGTCTTTGTTGATTTTGGAACAGTTGGGATATTTACAGATACATTAGGTAGCCTTGGAACCGATGGTAGATTTCCTTTTATCTTTGGTACATTGATAACGGTGCCGCTGTTGTCGATTTCAATATTATGGTTTATTTCTGTATTTTCCTCTTCTTCATCAATGACATCTGTATCAAATAATGTTTCTTTCGATGTTGTGATTTTCTGACTCTTTGGTGTCCTTAATTTAGGGATTCTTGTCTTGGATGGTTGTGAGGGTGAAACATTTGCAGACATTTTAGGAAGGATTGACACTGAAGGAAGATTTCCTCCTGTCAATGATGGTTGCGAAGGAAGAAGATCTGGCACATTCGAGATTATCCGAGGTGATCTTGGAAGAGCTGTTTTTTTCCTTGGATCTTCTGGACCTGTAGTGACATTTTCTGCTTGTTTAGGTTCTCTCATCACTGACTGAGATGGTTGTGATAGTGCATGACTTGGCTTATTTACTGTTGTTGTTATTGATTTTTGTTCAGTGGGAACATTTACTGAAACATTTGGTATGTTTGGAATTGAAGACAGACTCTCAAATACTTTAGGAGCTTTAAAAACGTTTTCACTGTTAGCGATTTCAATGTTATGCTTTATTTCTGTGTTCTCCTCTTCTGATTTAATGAGATCAGTGTTATGGAAAAATCCCATCGATGGTAAAATAGACTTATTTTTCGGAATTCTGAACCTAGTCACTTTGGCTCTTGGTGGTTTTGTTGCTTCTTCCTTTACGGAAGTAATTGACGTTTTTGGTGAATTAAAAACATTGAAAAAGGATCCTCTGTTATTAGTTTTGTTATTATTGCTAGTGCCTTCATTATTAAAGATATTATTTATTATTTTTGAAATATTTCTTGTAGATAAAGAATTTTTAAAATGAATTGAAGGGTTTTCTAGTTGAATAGGAGTTCGTATTGGAGAGTTATTTCCTCGTAGTCCTAGCGCATTTTTTATAAATGACTTAAGATTTGTTCCTCCAGATGGTACATTCTCTGATATTTTTCCATTCTTTTCCATAGGCATTGTTGAGATATCAGGCTGATTATTATTTTGTGGAATAGATTTGAGGACATTTATTACTGTTGGAAAAGCTGCGGAGGGTGGAGACTCTTTAGTGGTATCTATACCGCTAGTCCGTGAAATCCCAGGTAATTTTCGGGATTTAACTTTATTTATTCCAGCAGAAAGCGTATCCTTTAATTTACTTGCTTTTTCTGAAGTATTAACTTCTTTTTTTAAGACCATAACAGTCCGGCCCTGGTTTTCTACCAAAGAGTTTTGAGTTTCGTTTTTTATTGCCACAACATTCGGCTGTACAATTTTTGTGCTTTTTAATTTGTTGCTTTTTGTTTTGTTTTCCGCTTTTAGTGCGTTGGAAGATGCATCCTTTGTGGCTTGACTATCGGTTTCTGCGACCTCTTCCTCGGTATTTTCTTCATCTTCGTAATCTTCCTCGCTATCTGTTGTTCCTTGTGAACCCAGTTTTCGTTTTGATTTTCTCTTCTTCTTAGAAACCTTTAATTGTGACGTAGTTGTGGTATGGTGTTCGTGAATTTCTTCAGAATGGTGTTCTTCGTGATCTGTTTGGTTTTCTACTACTAAAGTTTTATGCTTAGTTAGGATTTCGTGTGTTGGCCCTTGCTTGGGTTCAAATAATTTTTGGATCTTTTGAATGTATGAGAATCTGGATCTGCTTGGCTGTGATTCATACCTGTATGTTTTAACTGCTTTATTTTGTTTTCCGACCTCTCGTTTGCTTCTTGATTGAAATTGATTTGTACTTTGGTCATTATTTAAACTGTCATCAATTTTTCCATTGATATTGTGAATGTTAACGTCAATTACTGCAGATTGTGCCTTTGACTCATTTTCAGTAAATAGTCCGTCACCATCGTTAGCTACTTCATTTTTTTTCAGCTGGACACCTATAAACATAAATAACTCATTATTTCTTTGTACAAATATATAAATAAAATGTATGCTTATGGAAAAAAAATTGTATTCCATATTCAATAACTATTTATGAACTATAGGCTTTATATAACTTTAGTTTAGAAAATCATTGTAAAAGAATAACAAAACATAAATAAATAAATTATTCACATTTTGAAAAATAAATTAATTTGTATCATTCAAGAACTTTCTAAACGTTTTTATTTAATTCCATCGCTATAAATAAAACTATTAATCCTTTTTAACTCACTTCCGATTTTAGATCTAGCTGAAATTCGGTATGAATACATTAACTTCATGTTAATGCAGTTTTGTCATCCCATTGTCATGGTTTCATTATGGAGATAAAAGTGGCAAGAAAAACTCCATTTTGGTGGACGTAGTCCAATTATAAAGGCTGTTTCAGGTTTTTTTTTTTTTTTTTTTTTTCTTATGACATTTACAATTGTATTACATAAATACATCAAGTAAATTTGGACATAATTGATATAATGACATGAATACACTTGCTGAGTAACTACCCAATGGTAGCACTCTAATGATATGACTACATTAGGAGATCACGGGGCCATCTTCTTTTCAGACGCCTCGGAGGGTTATCAGGAATTGAAGAGGAAGCAAGGTTAGAAACGAGAGGGTTAGGATGATTCTGAAGTTTATTATGGAAGGATAGGTATCTGGATTGGGCCAGATCTGAAACATAAGGAACATTAAGATCTTTATGGATAATTTTATTAGTGACAAAGTAAGGAGCATTGAGGATTTTCTGAAGGATTTTGGATTGTAAGGATTGGATGCGAGAGAAATTCGATGGTTTAGGAATTCGATGGTGGTAGCTCAACTCCGTAAGTTCAAATAGATCTTATTATAGTCAAGTATATGAGTCTTTTGTAATTAATGGGAAGTTCAGAGCGTTTGTCTAGTAAGTGCTGAAGTAATCGGAAACGTCGAGCGGTTTCTTGTCGTTTCAGTCTAGTATGAGGATTCCAAGTTAGTCGTTTGTCCAGGTGGAGTCCTAGGTATCGGATTTGCTCAACAGGGATAAGTGGAGTATTGTTAAAGGAAACTGTAGGACAGGAAGTCGTTGGTTTATGATGAAGGTTTCAGGTTTAAGTGGCCAAACTGAAAATATTAACTAAGGACTTCAAATCAAGAAAAAAATTCCTATGAAGGTATGTCCGCAAACGCTTTGTTTAGGAGACATTCACACCTAAAGGCTTTCGTTGTTATGAATTATTTATGTTATATTAAATAAATATTACCTATTTATTTGTTCTAATTACTTTATTAATTAAATGTATATATTAATATTCATATAAAATGTTGTTCAAAGTGATTTTCTTGAGCATTAAGACAGGTTCGGTATCTTTCTTCAACAGCAGCAATGGCAGAATGGCACTGGATATGTGTTATTGTTTCACAAGATTCAATTATACTTCTTCGGAAGGAATTAAGGCCATTGACCGGACTTGTATGGACTTTTAGTTTATTGTCACCCCAAACAAAAAAATTCCAGTGGTGTCAGGCCTGGAGAGCGTGCAGGCCAAACCACTGGTCCTGCATGACCAATCCATTGATTGGGATAATTAACATTTAGCCATTGTCGTGGACCTCTTCCGTAATGTGCAGGACAATCATCTAATTGAAGCCACATGTTCCTTCTCAGTTGTAGGTAAATAAATAGGTTTTATTTATTTCATATTACGTAAATAATTCATAACAACAAAAATCTTTAGGTGTGAATATCTCCTGAACAAAACGTTTGCGGACATAGGTTCTGAGGAATGTTTTTTCGTGTTTTGAGGTCCTTAGTTCATATTTTCAGTTTGGCCAATTAACCCTGAAACACCCTGTATCACTAGCGGATCCAGGATTTAATTTTGGGGGGGGGCTTCAGCCCGAAATCTTTTTTTTCATAAAAATAACGATAATTACTTTGGAAAAACAGAAAGAAACTAACTACCTTTATGAAATGGTGTTTAAGTGATTCCTTAAGTCCTTTTAAATGTAATTACACGAACAATAATACTTTAAATGGTATTTATAAAAAAAAAAAATCCATAAAACATGGTTATATTTTTCCATTTTGGGGGGGCTTCAGCCCGAAAGCCCCCCTCCCGTAGATCCGCTCGTGCCCTGTATATATGATGTATATAGCGCCAATGTAATCAATATGACACATTAGGTCGTAAATCTATAGTTGGACATAAGTGGGTAGCGCATAGATGAATTAACAATAAAAAAAAAAGTTTCTTTCAGCGGTGGATTTTTTTTTTTATTAATTAAAGTATTTAATAAAATAAAAATTCATCTAATACCTTGTAAATAAATAATTATAGCAGAAACTTAATTTTGAACTGCGAGCATGGGCTCCTAATGCCTAATGCTGAACATGTGCGATTAAATCCACGCAAAACCCAAGGTTTAAAAATTCTTCGTTGCCTACATTAAACCAATCAGCCGAATTCATCCTCTTTCATGATCTGAGAAATAAGTGTTTCAAACTGGTGCGAAACAAAATGCCTTCTAGAAATTAATTTATTTTCTACCTCCTTTTTGATTAATTAATAAAATTCTATTGATATCTTGAATTATATATATATATATATATATATATATATATATATATATATATGTTTTATATAAAATTTCACTTTAATGAGATTAAGTAATTTTAAATCATAAATTACCATTTGGATTGAATATGTTTTTTTTATTTTGTTTTTAGTTCATCATTGTTATTCTAAGGAATTTTTTTCTAGAATAATGTTTATTTTTCTATCTATCTTTCTTTCCATGTACCTCTGTATATACTTTTTCAAAAGTCTGCGATTAAATATTTTAAGTAATTAATATATGTATGGAAATTATTTTACAGGGAAAGCTTCGTTTTGCAGACATCCATAAAATTCACTTGTCAAATTTAACTCAATAAAATATCCTAATAATAAATTGATATATTAATTTAAAACAACTTAAATAATGACAGTATTGTTATTTTCAAAGCATGTCGATTGTCCTTATCATTTCCTATAGTCAAATGTTTTAACATGAACATCTTTTTTTTTTTGTTTAAATTATAATTCAGTTTTTATAAGTCGTGACAGAGAACAGCCTAGTAACCATTAACCATGACAACTATAGAAATATCACTCCATCACTAAGCCTGGCATTAAGAAGTCCTTTTGAGCATTATATCTTATAAAAATTTCAACCCACTAAACTAAAATATGTTATGGCTATCCACTTGTTCAAATGATAATAGAGTTGAAATATATTGTGAGGAAATATATTCATTATTAATAAAAATTATGATGCTATGCAATTTTTTTTAACTGCAATTTAACTCCAAAATCTTTTTTCATAATCACTATTGATTATAATGGGTCTATTTCATTTTACTAATGGATAGAAATCATAAAATTAAATTATACGTAAAACTAAATTTCAATGGTTTATACAGTATCAAAAATATTAATTTTACTAACTCGACTAAATATTAAAACATATTTTGCGACCCACCTCAAGTCAACTCGCGCCCCAGACTTTGGAAACCATTGTTCTCTAAATCGTGTGTAACCTGGAACATTTAGACAGGCTCAACTGCGGTGGGGAAATTGAGATCACCTAAAAATAGGGAATAATTTCAAAAACAGTTCCAATATTACTTTGCTATTTAGTTGTTTTATTAAAAATATCACTACTTTGCTAAGAAGGATCTCCATCCTATGAATTATCTTATTTAATACAACTCACTGTTTCGGTTAGGACTTTCAGTCCGGCATTTTTTTTTAATAATTTGTCCATTTCATTTTTTTTTTTAATATAATATATACGTATGTCTTATCGTATATAATGTACCGGAAATATCTGATCCGTTCTTTTTGGGTACTATTAACATCAATATTGTTTAAAAAAATTCAAAATAGTTGTTTTTTGAATTGAAAATAATAAATTATATTATTTATATATATATATAAAAATGAATGAATGTATGTCTGTCTGTGTTTGTCCTTTGTGCATTACTAAACCATTCATCCGATCGCCATGAAACTTTGGGAAGTTGTTCCGTACACTCCTGGGGAAGTTTCTGGCATAGTACTTCTGTCTTACGATAATTTTATATATGTAAAAAAAATAAAAATGTAAAAGTTTTTCTGTTTATAGCCGCAAAAAAATGTGTCGCTATAAACTGTAGCGCCAAAACGGCTTTACTGATTTTAACGAAACTTGGCTAAAGTCTTCCCCTTGAAACCCTTCTAATTTATGTGCATAACATACTTTCCCGAAAACAAGCTGAAAAATGTTACGATGAATTCAATATTTTATTTGACGATAACTAAAAAAGTACAGAATTTTTTATTAATAATACCCATATTTATATGAAAGATTTCTGAATTGCTGACAAAATAAAAAAAAACCATCGAAATCGGACGGTTCGTTGCAGAGTTATTGAGTTTTAAACATTTACTGCTTTCTCTTCAGAAAAGGCCATTTCCTTTTGCTTCCTCACTACCGAAGGTAGGCAAGCATTTTTTTTTTCTTTTTTTATTGATTAATCGAAAATTTTATAATTACTACAGTAATTGAAATTATCATTTGAAGAAGTTATATGATTCTCCTTATGTAGGTCAATACTATTATATGTTCTTTATATTAATTTTTTATTTTAGCTTTATAAGTTCAGCTCAGACTGTTTCTGATGATTATGAATGACGGCGTATTCACTCAGATGATTATGAATATCCAATTTGAATCATGAGAAAAAAAATCATTAGAATTGGTTTAAATTGAAGCCATTTTACAGACAAATTTGTTTCCCAACTTTTTAAAAATGACAGATGTCCTTTGCTATTAATCTACTCATATGTGCTTTCTATTTTCTTTCTTTTTCATTTTGCCAGGCTAAACCACAGCAGCGCGTGGCCGGGTAAAGCTAGTTATATTATATATAATTATTAAAATTAATATT